CCATTGCCATTGAGTCGATTTTGACTCATAGCAACCCTATAGCACAGAGTAGAACTTCCCCATAGGGTTTCCAAGGAGCAGCTGGTGGATTTGAACTGCTGACCATTTGGTTAGCAGCTGAGCTCTCGAGCTCTTAACCTCTATGACACCAGGGCTCCATATGTGTGTGTGTATATATATATATATATGTTTCACTGGTTTTGCTTCTCTAGAGAACTCAGTCTAAGACACCGTATGTCACTCCTTCCTTGTTAATTGTTGTTGTGTGCCACTGGGTTGATTCTGTTCTGACTCATATAAACCTTATAGGACAGAGTAGAACTCCTTCATAGGATTTCCTAGGCTGAAATCTTTATGGGAACAGATTGCCAGGTATTTTTCCCCAAGGAGAGACTGGAGGATTTGAACCACCAACATTTTGATTAGCAGCTGAGGACTTCACCATTGCACTACCAGGGCTCCTTACTCTTCCCTTACTTCCCTACTAATACCCCTGAAAAAATGACCTATTAGTGAATAATTTTGATTTAATTTAACCAACAGAATATCCCACCCTAGCCTTAGTCCTGATGACTGTCTTGGAATCTTACTCAATTGGTTGCTCAGGCCACCTGGCAGAATATGCAAGTCCCAGTTACACAAGGGCTTGTGAAGCAGTTTCCCAGTGGCTATTGGCTTGACCTGTGTCTAAGAAACTCAAAATAGGTCATGTATCTAGAGAAGAGAAATCTAGAGCCCTGGAGACATGCGTAGCTGATTTAGTACAAGGTTGTTGGAAACCATCTAATTTAATGTCAAGGCACACAGCGTCCCAATATCACTCGAGCTGCTTCCATGATAAATAAGACAAACTCATTTATTTCTCTTTCAAAAACTTATCTGAGATTATTTTTAAAAAAAGATGCAAAGAAGTAGGTGTCCAAAAAACAATCTAGACTTTGATAAGGAAAAGCTTTATTCAGAAAGAAAAAGAGGGGAGGGAAGGTGACTAATAGTGAAGGCAGAGGATACTGCTATAGGGAGAACACTCTACATTAACATCTATCTGCAAGCATCTCCAAGAGTTGGGGAAAAAACCATGTTTCCTTTATAAAGACTGAGAGTAAGCAAAGCTAGAAAAACCTAGGTGTGGGGAAGTGGGATCAGCGGTGACATCACTGAATAGTAAATCAGAATGTTTTACGCTGAGGCCAATATATTCTCTAGGAGGTGCCCGTAAAGAAGGGTGGTGTGTTGTGTTGACTCAGGCTGAGGGTGGACGAAAGTTCAGGGACTTGGGGAAAGGAGAGAAGATTAACCAAAATTTGGCTAACAAACATTTTGTTTCCTATTGATCAGTGGGGACAAGCAATCCAGTTACTCATGTATGAGGCAAGGAATGAGAGTTTTGAGGGTCTGTGGTTAAGTGTTTAATTGTCAGCTCCAAGGTCAGCAGTTTGAACTCACCAGCCCCTCTGCGAGTAAAAGATGTGGCAGTCTGCTTCCGTAAAGATTACAGCCTTGGAAACCTTATGGGACAGTTTTACTCTGTCCTACAGGGTCGCTATGAGTTGGAATCAACGCGACAGCAACGGGTTTGTTTTTGGTGTCTGGCTTTGCCATAGGTAAAAAAGGGGCACCTGTGAGACTTAGCTAAATCATATAGGGAGGATGGTTATTTGCCATAAGCTATTTTCCTGAACACAAATGTTGGGGGGATTTTTTTAACCATCAGTGTTTTTCAGTATCACGGGACAGGTAAATTTCAACATTATTATATAGGGACCAGGGAAGTTTTCACCTTAACTCTGGAGACCATTTTAACAGACACAGACACAGCATGGGTCCCAGTACTATATATTCTAACTCAAGACAAGAATGAAAAACAAAAGTTGCTCACTGAGATCCGAGATGTGAACCTGAGGCTTAGCAGTGAAGAAAGGCCTTGAAGGGGTCCCCAGGAAAGGTCTGCCACACCTGCCAGGAGTCAGTGACTCTCTACTGAAGAGTAAATTTCCTCTGTACTTTCCAAAGCAAAAACCAAACTCGTTGCCATCCTGTTAATTCCAGTCATAGCAACTCGATATGATAGAGTAGAACTGCCCCATATGGTTTCCAAGGCTGTACTCTTTATAGAAGCCGACTGCCACATCTTTCTCCCACAGAGTGGCTGGTGGGTTTGAAATGCTGACCTTTCGCTTAGCAGCCGAGCTCTGAACTACCTTGTATTTTCCAAAGCCTTTGCTTATTTTTTCTCACTCAATCTTACAGTCTTTTTTTTCCATCCTAACAAAAACATATAGATTTCTTATCTATTCAAAGCACTATAACTTCCTCTGTCCTTCTCAAAATTCTTTAAGCCATTTCTGTAGTGTTTAACATCATAACCAGTTCATAGCTGATTTTATACAAAATTATGTGTCACTATAAAGTTTTTTAAAAAACTACAATATTTTTTATTATAACCTTTAAAATATTTGTTTAAAGTATGTTGTGTGTCAGGCAGCACTATGTTTGACCTATGGGACAAGGCTTGGAGTGAAAGACTCTGGCCCTCTTGGAGCATGTACCGATAGGTCATCTAGGGCTTAGGTATATAACTAGACTGTCCTTCTACACAGTTTGAGGGGAAGAAATAGTGCACAGTGTTTAGGAAACCAAATCAATGCAATCTATTCTGCTCACTGCTAACACCAACTGAGTAAATCAGTACTTCTTCCTCTGATTCTAGCAAAACAGCTAGGCCACATCTCACAAATTGAAAGGGCACAGGCCTGCAGACTGCCAATTCCGCCCAAGACCTCAGACATCAGCCCTACCAGCTGCCCATGATACCCTCACTTCTGACCTGCTGGCTACAAACTCAAGGGTTCCCTCTACCCCTCAGGATATCAACTGTAATCTCAGGTGTCCCCAGTCTTCCTCTCACTTCTGACCTGCTGTCTTTCACTACTCCCTTGGGTCAATAAATTCACTACAATGACTCATAGGAAGTGCTATATTTACAATTACAACTTTATTAAAGCAAAAAAATATATAAATGAAGAAGTGCATGAAGTGAGGTCTGGGAGGATTCCCAACACAGAGCTTCCATTTCCAAAAAAAAGACACAAACCTACCCCTTCTGTGCACTGATGTATATCACCAACCAGAAAGCCCATGGAACTTCAGTGTCCAGAGCCTTTATTGGGGTTTCATTATGTAAGTATGATTGATTGAATCAGCCACTTTCCTCTGAGGTCAACTGATGTCACAGGGTGACCTTTCTGGCCTGCTCAAGTGGCACCTCATGAGCATCAACCCTCATGTATGGTCTGGAGTCCTCATCAAAGGCACAAATCACTGCAGAAATTCCAAGGTTTTAGAGGTTATCTCTCAGGAACCAAAGACAAAGACCAAATTCGGGTAAAGTCAAACCCATAGTGTGCAGTGTTTCTTAAGGAAAAGATAATTTGCAAGCACTGAGCTCTGTAAAGACAACTCCAGTTCACATCTCTTTAGTTCTGAGCACTGTCATCTGTTTCAGTTTAGTTCTCATGTAAGCCAATCTATGTGGGATAAGAAGGTCTCAATACCACTAAGTCATGACTAGTTACAGTGTCTTCTCTTTGCAGAACCAGTAAACCCATTCTGAGTCAGACTGATCCATGCTTCTACAACAATTGGCACCTCTCCATCTGTACTCTGGAATTTTTTCTTCCTTAGTGCCAAAGGGTATTTATTGTTGTTGTTAGCTGTCGTCAAGTCAGCCCCCAACTCATGGTGACCCCATGCACAACAGAAGAAGACTGTACCCAGTTCCATACCATCCTCATGATTGGTAGTGGATTGGACCATTGTCCCATTGGATTTTCACTGGCTGATTTTTGTAAATACATCACCAGGCCCTTTTTCTTAGTCTGTCTTAGGCTGGAAGCTCTCCTAAAACCTATTAAGCATCATAGCAACACGATAGCCTTTATTAGCAGACTAGTGGTGGCTGCACATGAGGTGAATTGGCCGAGAATTGAACCTGAGTCAAACTGGCAAAGGGTGCTACTCTTCCAAGATGCAATCTTATATAATTTTAAGGTGATTTTCTGTGCTTGTTTATTCTGTGATAAAATCAATAATTTCTCTCACTAAAGAAAAGAAAATCACATGTTTAATCTTTGTTGTGGCAACTCTTCTGAATGTGCACACATAGTTATGCAATTTCAAGATAGTGGTAGTTGTGTTCTAGGTAGAGAAGAGCAATACCAAGAGCACAAGCACAGAAGAGAAGATGGCTTACAAAGAGCTGCACGTATTTGGTATGAGAGTAGCTTAGAGAAGGCATAGTCTAGTGGCAGGAGATGAAATCAAAGGAAGGCAAAACAACAGCATCATGAAGGGCCTGGGACAAAAATCTAAGGGATTTCAAGTTTACTCTAAAAACTCTTTCTCTGTTGTTGGTTTTGTTAAATATAAATTTAATTGTGTTCTTTCATAAATGATCCATTTCTCAGAACATATGCCTCTTGGGCGTTATATGGAACAAGAGAAGTCACAGGGATTTGCTATCATCATAATATTTTAAAAGCTTCCAATTCATGAAAATATATTATGTAGGTACTCTAAATATATGATGGATCTCAGCTCATATCGTAAAATTATTTAGCAATGCAACGTGTGCACTAGAGGGATTTGAGTTAAATGAATGCATTTTCATAAGCAAGAGGATAACACTGAAAAAGACACTTAAAATACGTTATGTAATTCTCGGTTTCAAAGGTCAAGTTAAGACATAATTGAGGAAAATTCTTAAATGCTTTATTAAATTTTCAAAATGAAAATGGTTTCTGAATCCATCTGGAAGGTATTATTATATCAAGTGATAA